TTGACAAGAATGGGATGAACTGGATGAAACTTTCATACACTGATAGTAACTGTATCTCAAGAAGCTAAATATACCCTGAAATACTAGATTATGCTCTGCCCTTAGATATTTAACAAATACATGTCCATTTAAAATTTTTTAACTGAATATCCTCAGCACCTTATTTGCAGTATGTCAACAGGCTGAAAACCTCCCAAATACTGAAATAAGTAAATGATCAAAGAACTGTGCACAAGCATACAATTAGATCCAACTCAGGAATAGAAAGGAGACAACTGACATAATACCCATTAATTTTGAATTACGCTAATGGAAGAAGCCAGACAAAAAAGTCTGCATGATTCCATTTATTTCTGATTATGAGCCTAGTCTTTAGAGGCTGAGCCATCTCTCCATCCCAGCATGATTCTATTTATATAAACTTCTAGAAGAGCAAAACTAGAGTGCAGTGACAAAAATTTGATTGCTGGGGCGCAGAAGGGCTTGAGAAACAACACAAGAGGAGCTTGGGGCAACTTGGGGTTGATGAGGTCTGTTCATTATTGACCATGGTGGAATTTGAAGAGTATTTATAAAAGTCAGCACATGGAATACTATGTATAGTTCATTATATGCCAATTATACCATGATAAAGCCATTCTTAAAGACTGCCAGTCGGGTACAGTGGTAGATGCTTATACTTCCAGGTTGAAGCCAGTCTGGGATACAGTCTGGCTCCATCAAAATCGTCATAATAACACTCACCTATAATCACAACACTTGGGAAACTAAGGCAGAATTGTGAAATCAGTCTAAATTAAAAGAGACTGATTCTCTTTTAAAATAAATAAAATAAAATGTAAGCACCTTTTTAAAGGAATTTTAAAATATGCTTTGAGTTCCAGTATAGCCAAGGCTACATAAAGAGACCTACCTCAGAAAAACAAAAACAAACAAAACAAAGAACAGCTTTCAAAGCTGTTAAAATGAGGAGATGATACTAAAAATACTTAGGGGTTTCCAAAATTAAAAATTCTGTGCCTACTAAAAGGATTAGATATAGACACAGCGTTATCTTAAGAGAAATTAAAAAAAAAAAAGAAAGGTTTTCACTTGGCATGGTGCCATATGCCTATACCTGAACACATGGGAGGCTAAGGAAAGAAGATGGTAAGTTAAAGGCTAGCCTGGGCTACATGACAGGCTCCAGGATAGCCATGGTTACTAGAGATTCTGTCTTTAAAACAAACAAAAAAGAGCAAGCAATAAACTTTTCATTATGGACAACTTTTTTTTTTTTTTTTGTGGGCAGCGGCTGGGGGTGGAGGGTAGAAGACAGGGTTTCTCTGCCTCCCAGGTGCTGGAATTAAAGGTGTGTACCACTACTGGAAAAAGTTAAGCAGTGTCAGAAATATACAATAGTAAAGCCCTAAGTGAAAAACCGATAATCTTGATTCATCTTTTCTCCCACACACTACCTACTTTGATTCTTCTTAACTATGGAAACAAATCTCATTTTCATCACAAATACTTCTGTATTTCTAAACAATAAAAACTTCAAAGGCTTCCTTCATGTGTGGTGATAATCCATGTCTTCCTTTCAATATACACTTAGCAGTTTTAGTTTATAAGAATATTGGGCAGAGCCAGGCAATGGTGGCACATGTCTTTAATCCCAGCACTCAGGAGGCAGAGACAGGCGGATCTCTATGAGTTCGAGACCAACATGGTCTACTGAGGGAGTACCAGGACAGTGAGGACTACACAGAGAAACCCTGTCTCTGAACAAAACAAAACTAAAACAGAAACAAGAATGGAGGACATTGGGTAGAGTTTTCACATATTCTCCCGGCCTCTTCCACTGCTGCCATCATTGACAAGAGTGGTACATATATTACATTACAAAAAATACTAATATTAAAATATTTCAAAAAAAAGTACAAAAGAAGAGTCGGGTATGGTGATGAATATCTATTATCCCTGCATCTAGGAAGGATGGCAAGGCAGAAGCCAGCCTTGACTGCAACACAGGACTGTACTTCAGAGAGCAAGGTTAATTACTACTGTTTCTCCAACTACAGCCAAACACCCAGGGTTCTTATTAGAGTTTCTTGAATACCTAATTTAAATGGTAATTTAGAACAAAAAAGGGCTATGGTTATTATTGCTTTCTAAACCTTGTTTTTTTTCAGAAATAGGTGAACAATTATTTAACTATACCATCTTTTAGTCTCCAGTCCATACACACATAGCCAATCAATGGCATCAACAAACATGAAAGTCGTGTGCACACTGAGGCAGTGTGGGTAAGCTGACAGAAGGCAGTAAAGTAGGGTGTGTGTGTATGTGTGTGTAGTGGGAAAACCATGAAATCTCCACTGGGCTCCTGTGACAGCTCTCGCTAGTTATTCTACTAAAAATGGCAGCTCTGAGATAGGCTATACAGGCATAGGAAAAAAGGACAGACAAACTGCTGGTGGTTTAGAGACTAATGCAACCACAGAGCTGTGTTTTATCTTATCACACCACTGTTCAAATTGGTTGGGACCAGCATAGCCAACCCAGACTTTGCTTTTATAGAATGAATTTCCATTCATTTAGCCTTGCAAAATTGGCTGTTCTCATCATGTATCTATTTCCATACACCAGAAACTTTGTAAGGACAAAAAAGGAGTAAGAAACCCTACAGAGGAAGAAACCCCAACCTACTCAGATTCCTATCTGGATAACCCCCCATTCAGCCCTTCCATTAAGGCTCATCTGTGAAATAAACACCCAGAACTCTCCCAAAAAGCCTGCACACTCCAAGTGCACTACTGCTCTAGAATAGAACTGTCTTTCAGTTCCCCACGCACTGTCTCAGAGCTGAGCAACACTGGACAGAGACTCAATCTGGTCTCTATCTGAGACCTCTCAAGCCTCCACCACAGGCAACAGATCTGCTCAGTATCTGAGAAACTGGGAACTACCAAACATTTGTAAACCAAGTTTTTATATATCCACAAAAGAGAACAAAGGAGATTGGGCTGATACATGTACAATTGCAAAAGTCTGTCTTTGTTGCATATTTATAGTAAACATGTTAAAAGAGCCAAATTTAGAAGAGTAACTCCCTACAAAAGAGGGTGGGATGGGAAGAGGTACTTCAATTTTTTTTCTATATTGTTTTCCCACAAAACTAGTGTCTCTTTCCAAATTAAATGTAGAAATTTATTTTATTTGGTTATGGTTTCATTGAATTTAGGATCAATAAATAGAAACAGCATAGCATGTACAAATATCGGGGTTTGAACTGCCACATCATAGAAATGCATTTTTGTTGTTGTTTTCAAGAGACATATGCTGTGGGACAATGGTCTTGTACTTTGTAAAGATTTGTCACTTGTATTTTAATAAAATGCTGATTGGCCAGTAGCCAGGCAGGAAGTAGAAGTGGGGCAACAAGAACCGGAGAATTCTGGGAAGAGGAAAGAGTCAGTCTGTAGTCGTGACACAGTTGCAGAGGAAGCAAGATGAGAATGCCTCAGTGATAAAGGTACCAAACCACACAGCTAAGAATTATGGGCTAATTTAATATATAAGAATTAACAAGAAGTCTGAGTTAATAGGCCAACCAGTTTATGATCAATGTAGACCTCTTTGTGTTTCTTTGGGACTGAACGGCTGCAGGACCAGGTGGGACAGAAACCTTGGTCAACAGACATAGAAACAGAAAAATCTGAACCGCCTTTACAAACAAGAAGTACATCCCAAATAATACAGCCTTTAACTTTAGTAACGTTGGTTACTTATTTGCTATGCTTTAGATTAGTGCTTCTCAACTTGTGGGTCACAATTCCTTTGGGGTTGTGCATCAGCTATCCTGTATATTAAATATTTACATTATGATTCATAACAGTAGCAAAATTACAGTTATGAAGCAGCAATGAGAATAATTTTATGGCTGGGGTTCTCACTATATTAAATGATTGCAGCATTAGGAAGGTTGAAAACCACTACTCTAGATGCTTAGAACATTATACAATAAAATTTTTATAAATATTTAGACTTTAAAAAATAGTGACTCTTATCCACTTAGTCCCTTGACTATAAATAAGATTATACATAGCAGCCCACAAGATGAAAACATATTTTTGGGACTCCTACAGCCCCTCATTGCATCTGTTATAGAGGTTACGCTAGGGCTGGAGAGATGGCTCAGTGACTAAGAGCACTGACTGCTCTTCCAACACCCACATGGCAGTTCACAAGTAACTCCAGTTCCAGGGGAGCCGACATCCATGGTAAAACACAAATGCACATAAAATAAAAATAAGTAATTAAATAAAAGTGGTTATGCTAAAGACATCTGGAACAAGAAATGTTTTTTACATGTTATGTCCAATTATGTTACCTAACAACATATAATGGTGCTTAAACTTAGACAAGAATGTCAACTAGCAGACTATAAAGATTTGGCTAGTCGTTTCCAAAATGACTTCAATTCATTATACTTGTGGTAAGAGTAACCAGTTCAATCTTGAACCTATTTGTTCAGGACTGTAGTAAGAGTTTCAAAACTTGTGTACTGTACCACAGCCCTATCCTGAACTCAGACCTTTGATGCTTTACCTTGTATAATCACTGTCACTACTTACTGAACACTTCCAGAAACTAGAAAACTTAATAAAACGTATCCCTTCTTCCTGTAGAAGAGTAAGATCATGACGAAAAATGTGGACCATGAGGTCCTTATACCTCAGGAAGCTGAGGTGATGAGGCCAGCAGGACCTGCATTAACACTCATGTGGTAATAGCCTTATGGGCTGGGGGAGCAGCTCAGTACACTAGGATAAGTTCCCAGCACAACAAAGTAAAACAAAAGTAGTTTTGGAGCGCCGTTCACCAAGGCTATGATACTTTACCCACAGCTTAGTGTTCAGTAAATAAAGATGTCCAAAGTAGAACAAAGCTGCCCCAGGCTCAGCACCTTCCAGAGGCGCATGAGGATGGTGGGAAAGCTTCAGAAGCCCACACTGTACCTGGCTACGGACGGTGCTGCTGGAGTGGTTGTCCTCAGACATCTGTGCATTCTGGAAGTAGGACAAGGGTGCAGGTATGTCTGTCATTGGAGCAACTGTATAGAAATACCCTTTCAAGGAAAACAGAGCCTCTTGGGATTCTGAAAAGGGAAAAACAAGGCAGAACTTCAAGCTGTTAAGATTACTCACTTATTTTTAAACACTCTCATGAATTACATTCTGTAAAAACAAACCTTTCTCTCATGTGTTCTCTTCCAGGCCGAGCTGCTTAAGGACCTTTTAGGGCTTCCGTCACGTGCTGACTCCTGGATTAGTATGAAATAGGATTTTACCACGTTACTCATAATTAGTCAAATCCACTCAAACATTCGCAAGTCAGAAGAAATGTGTTAACTTGCTATGCGTGACCTTTGACTGGCAAATTTTACTGTGTTAGGGAGCGGTATGGCAATGAGACCTCAAACACTGAGATACTTTCTAACTTCAAACCAAGAAGTCACGTGATTTTAAGAGACAGTCTTGAATTTCTTTTTTTTCTTATTGTTGGTTTTGCTTGGGGGGGGGGGGGGCGACGCAGGGTTTCTCTGTGTAACACTGGCTGTCCTGGATCTTGGTCTGTAGACCAGGCTGGCCTTGAACTCAGAGATCTGCCTACCTCTGAGGCTTCTTGGGTGCTGGGATTAAAAGTGTGCATCACCACAGGTTCAAATTTCCTTTTCTGTGCTGACAACTCTAAACTAATTTTTCATCTTCATACCATAGATGCCTAGCTCTCTCACTTCACAACCCTTCTCTAGCCGTCTCATTTCACCCGACAGGACAGCCATTTATAAAAGCAGAAGAGGGGGATGGGCACTGACTTCAGGGGCACAGTGCTTTGAGGCCCTGGGTTAAGAGCTGGGAAACAAACCTGGGTCCTCTCCAAGAGCAGATGCACCCTTTAACCACCGACCAGTCTCTCTATCCCCAACAAATAGCTTTTCTAAGAGAGGGGGGCTCCTGAGAATGGAACCCACGGTCTCACTCATGTTAGATAAGCCTTCTACCAACCCACACCCCAGCCTTCCCATGGCAAATTTCTAGTCACTGCAGGCTCTCTTTTATGTTCATCTGTCTCCTTCCTTCCACAGAAAATTTAAACAGAAAGTAAAAACATCTAATTAGCTTATTCACTTTATCCACTCATTTACAATAAAATCAAATAGCTGGGTGTGGTAACACAATACTTTAATTCCAGCACTCAGAAAGCAAATCTCTCAGAGTTTGATGCCAGCCTAGCCTGTATAATGAGACCCTGTCTCAAGAAAAAAAAGGGGGGGGGGAGTGTAGTACGAAGAAGTCAACTATCTCAACCAAGGTCTTATCTGGTAAACAAAGGCATCCAAACCCACATATAGTACACTATCCTTGCCTAACGCTTTACAGCAATTCAGACTAGGTTATATTAAACTCATTTTTCTCTTTTTGGTTTTTTGAAATGGGGTCTCACTATATAGCTCTGGCTGTCTTGAAATTCAATCTACAGACCAGGCTGCCCTCCGCCTGCCTCTGCCCCAAAGTGACAGGATTAAAGGCAGGCACCACCGCCTCAAGGCTTGTGAAACTCATTTTTATCACTAGCAAACTACTGCTCACAAGTAGCAACTGCTTTCAGTATTAAGTAAAACCTGAGATATTTAAAGTATTTTCCACAAACAGCATTTTCCAATACTAGTATTTATTTTTATAAAGGACTGCCATTTTACTTGTCTCTTTAATGTTTACACAGTCTGTTTAGCCATTAGAAGGAACCATACTGGAGCTCTCGCAGACAAATCTTCCTTGTAAGAACCATCAATAATAAAACAGTCACTACTTCCGCATATTCCCAATGCTATTTTCAAAGTTCTTTTCATAGTCATATTCCATTTGATTCTTTAAAAGTTCCCATGGGGAGCTGGAGAGATGGCTCAGTGGTTAAAAGCCCAGCACCCACATGGCGGCTCACAACTGCCTGAAATTCTAGTTCCAGAGACCTGACACCCTCCCACAGACATACATGAAGGCAAAACACCAATGCGCATAAAATAAAAATAAATAAATGGGGTAGAAAAACTCCCCGAGGGCACAGAGTTGGCTCGGTGGTTAAGGGGCACTTGCTGCTGCTCTTGCAGAGGACCCAGGTTTCTGTCCCTGCTCCCATACAGCGGCTCAAAACCATTCATCACTCCTGTTTCCGGATAGCTGATATCTTCTTTTGACCTCCACAGGCACCAGGCACACAGACGTGCACATATTTATACACAGGCAAAACACTTATACGCATAAATCTACAAAAATTTCTGAAAATAATAAAAATTCTAATGAAGGAACAGCTCTTTCTTTAATCCTCCACCCTCCACTCCTATTTCAGGGAGCTCCTTCTCTCCCTTTCAAAAAACCTTCCTTGCTTGCCCCTCCAAAAAAAAAAAAAAACCCAAAAAACCAAAACAAAAAATTCTGCCCAAGACTCTGCATTTACATGCCACACACAACAAGCACCTGAGGCTAAGGCAAACGGATCTGTATGTGCAGGGTTAAGGAGCAAATGAGTAACACCACCAATCCAGAGCCCAGGGGGTGAGGATACTCAGCCCAGGGCTCTTCTGGTCACCTAGAGAAATGACAGGCCTCCCCCGTAGCTCTGAGGATCACAGTGCATAAGAAGAGCCTCCCTGATAGAACTGTCTTCAGAAGGAACCCAGAAGCAGAAGCAGGCCATGCCACGGCGGGGAGCAGACACATACTGCTGGTACAAAGAAAGGGGTAGGTCAAATCGAGCTGATTTTGATCCAGAACAGCTGAAGAGAGTGATGGAAAATTGACCTCACGGTTCAGGCAGCATGGCAGAAGGTACTTGCAAATTTGATAACATTCTCAGCTGAGAGATGTGAACAAAAGTCAGTAGCTGGGAAGAGACCTGCATTGCAAGGGAGGAGAAGGGATGTAGATCTTGGTGCTTTCCACTCTGGACCCTGCTGAGAACAGACACACTGAAGCTCTTCACTGCCATCTATTTCCTTTCTATCAGACACTGTGGGGACAAAGGGCCGAAATCAAAGTGCCAAAAGTAAAAGAGCAAAACCCCTCACTATCAGATCCTACCTATGGAGCCTGTGCTGCTGACCATATATACACAATTGAGACTAACTCCTAATTATCAGAGTGCTTTACCTTGACAGCCTACAAGGACTTTTTAGTACATTTTTGAGTAAATTTTGAGTACAGAAGTACTCAAAGTGAATCCCATACAAATGGGTCAGGAGATAAGGCCAGGTAATCAGTCTCTTGACTGCTATAAAATGATCCCGTTACCAATCATGGACCCCTACCTGCCCCACCCCACACCCCTGCCATAGTTCTGTCCACAGTATATTTTCTTTACTAGACCTTCACATCAATTCTGATCTAGCAAATACTTTACCCTCTGCTTTGGGCTTGTTCCTAGCACAACTCAGGCAGTCAGACAAAGGAAAAAGCGATCATTGTTCTGATGAGCAACTACAATTTCTATCAGACAAAGACAGTTAACAAGTGGGACACAGATCTGCTTCCTAGTATGTGCAGACCCTGGGGCCCATCCCTAGTACTAGGGAAAACAAGACAGATATACAAAGGAGAAAAGAGTCCCAGAACTATGAATAAACTCAGAGCTCAGACATGTTCCACAGAAACGTCTATGCAGGGTCTGGGGAGATGGTTCAGGGTGAGAGTGCTTGCTGTGGGATGGCAGGACTCACTTCAGTACTGGGTGGGTGGGTCTGGCAACCCAGCTCTAATCACAGGAGGCAAAGACTGGATATTCCCAAAGCAAGCTCCCTAGCCAAACTAGCTATATCAGTGAGCTCTGGGTTTGATCGAGACTATGTCTCAGAGAATAAGGTGGAAAGTGATCTAGAAAAGGTCCAGAAATCAGTCTCGAGCATATAACAAAACATGCATACATCAACATACCACATATGAGGAAAAAAATTAAGTCTATCCAACTAGAAACCTCTATAAACTAAAACTTCAAAAACATCTCAGGAGCAATGTTTCAAGTTTCAGAATAGGCTCCTAAGAGAAAATCCCACTCAAGGAAGCAGCCACAGGGCTAGAGAGGTAGCTTGTTCCTAGAGTACTCGCCCAGCATAAACCAATCCCTGGGTTCAGTCTCCATACACATAAGCCAGATATGGGTTTGAACATTTCTAATTCCAATACTTAGAAGAATGCAGGTAGGAGAATCAGAAGTTCAAGAGTCAGGGAAATGCCATGTAGCTGCCCAAGGAGAAAAATGCTGGAATGTTACTGTTCCAGCCACAGCCTCATGGTGATATAAAGATTAATAGAAATGGGTTAATTTAAGATGTAAGAGCTAGCAAAAAATACACCTGAACCATAGGGCAAAGAGTGTTGTAATTAATACAGTTTCTGTGTGATTACTTAGGTCTGGGTGGCCGGTAAATGAAGGTGCAGTCTCCACATACATCTTCCCATGGCCTAAAGTGAGGGTCTTATTTCTTAACAGGTGAGGGTTCAGTCTACACACACATACATAATCTAAGCAAAAGCTTATTTAGCAATGTATATACTCCAAAGAAAGACCCAAGTAGGCTACAAGAAAATACACAAGGAGCAGAACGTGAGTGGGTTCTGAGCTACAGACTTTAAAGACTTTATGATGAATATTTGAGGTAGATGGCATATTCATGGTAAGGTGGCATTTTTAACCTCATAAAGTGATATTTATGGTAAGGAGGTCTTTTTAACCTCATAAAGTGATATTCTGACCCTAAGGGGGACAAGAATTATCAAGATCAATATTTTTGTTGTTATTACCACATATCTACTTCCTTTGAGACTGATGGACGTCCCGTGAGCCCAAGGCTGGCTGTTAAAAAAAATTAAAGCTTTCTCCCAAAAAGTTGGGGCCAGAGTCTCACAACTGACCAACAGACTGCACAAACGGGCATTTTGGCTGTTCTCCCCATGCCCACTACACACACACTTTCCCCACTCTATCTTCTTCTTGTCATTTTGACAGCTGCTCCTTGATACGCAGCCCAAATGCTGATTCCAGTTTTGATTTGTTTATTTTGGTTGGTGGGAAGCAAGTAAGTGTTCCACTGAGCCATACCTTGGCTTTCCCCTTGTTTGTTTGTTTGTTTGGGACAGGGCTTCACTATGTAGCCTGCCACCTGGCCTGTACTCAGATATGTGGATCAGACTGACTTCAAACTCCTGGGTGCTGGGATTAAAGGCATACCCTGTCATTTACGTATTTATTTAAACAGGGTCTTGCTCAAATGTTTGACCTTGAGGTCCTCCTGCTTCCAACTCCCACATGCTAGGATTAAAAGTGTTTACTATCAAACCTGGTTCTACTTGAGTTTCTGAAGGCTCACATTCAATAATAAATGTAACCAAACTCTAAACTGTATTCTATAACTGAAATGAAAATCCCTTAATTTAGGAATAGCCAAGATAACTCTTATTTTTTAAGGTACAGAGAGCAAATCATTTCCCCTGCCCTCCAAGAGATATGAAAGGGACAGAACTAAAAAGAGCAAGGGTGGTGATGCATCTTATTGAGTGTGTGTTTTTCCCTCTTCCCATCCCACTCCACCTCTGTGAACCATCTGTGATAGATAAAATTATTATTCAGTAAATATTCTCTCTTCCCCCAGTATCCCTAAGAGAAGAATGGTTAGCCTTCATATCTTCTGGTTCAGGATTCTTGGGTTCAACCAACTAAAGACTGATATATGTGGCATGTAGTTTTCTTTGTTCTTCCTTAACCAACACAGTGTAACAATTATTTGTGTTATTAGATATTCTAATGAAGAAATGATTTAAAGTATACAAGAGGATTTGTGTGTATAGATTATAAGTAACAAATATATTTTTGTTCAGATTTTTTTATTCAATGCTAGGGACCCAGTGTAGGTCTCTGTACATGACTACATTCTCACCCCAAATACTATATACCATTTTATATAAGGACTGAACTGAAGCATCCTCAAATTTTGGAATCTAGTGGTCCTGGAACCAATCTCTCTTTGGTCTCATGATGGGTGAAGTTCATTATCTACCTTCTAAGCCTTTAGGTGAAATCCTATGTGCCTTTGTCAATGTAATCTTAGTTGACTGACACTGGCAGATATGTGAACTACGCTTGTGCAGTTGGCCCTGCCCTTTTATACATTCGACATTGCCTTGAGAAGACACTAGCATGGATTGGTACTCCTTGCCCTCCCCACCTAGGCCCCATAAGATGCTCAAATCAAAATGGTCCCAGCTGCCCCACACTACCACCTTGAAGCAGAGCCTTGAGTGAGTGAGATCTATGCGCTCTAAGCTGTTAGCTCTGAAGGAGGGCTGCTATGGACACTTCCTGCTGTAGCTTGTTTTAAAACAGTGGTAATGCTGGCTGGCTCAGAAGATGCAATGAAGATGAGCTAAAAACAGCTGAGGATCTTAGTCAAACCTTCAGGATTAAATGTATTAGAATATAGATGTTTTCTGGATTTTATAAAGGCAATGTGATACAAATATATGCTTGATACTACTTCCAAGAGTCTTAGAATCACAGAAGTCAAATAAATCCAGTTCTACAGCGAAACAAACCAACAGTCTCAAAGTATATTAAGACAGTACATATAATCTGGGCAGATGGCTCAGTGGGGAAAAGCACTTACTGTGAAAATAAGAGGCCTGGGGCTCAAATTCCCAGCACCACAGAAAAGCCAGGCAAAACTATAGTGCCCATAATCCCAGCACTGGGGGTAGAGATGAGGATCCCAGGAGATTGATGGCCAGCCCTCTAGCTGAAATAGCTTCGGGTGCAATAAAGAAACCCTGGCTTACAAAATAAGGTACAGGGCTGATGAGCACTTGCTGCATATATCTGACAACCATAATTCCATGCTCAGAACCCACATAATGTAAACAAGAATGATTCCACAAAATAACCCTGTGAATTATCCTTTGTATCACAGCACATATGATCCCCATTACGGATACACACACACACAATTAAGTTTTCAAAATTAAAGCTGGATTCCTTCAGTTCCAGCAGATCTGGAACTTGTGAGCTTGAGGCCAGCCTAGTCTAGTGAGTTCCAGGATACTCAGAGCTATATAGAATGACCCTTGTTCAAAAAAACAAGACAAAACAATTAAGTTAAAAAAAAAATAAGGGGCTATAGAGATGGCTCAGAAAGTAAAGGTACTTGCCTCACAAGCCTAGAGACTTGTGTTCAATCCCCAGTACCAACTTAAAGATGAAAGAAGAACTCACTTCAAACTTCAGCACATACACCATGCCACCACCACCACCACCATCCCCCAACCCTGCATACAAAAAAACATAACAAAAGATTTTTTAAAAAAAAGGTGCTAAGTAAAAGAGAAAAACATCCAGTGTCCTTCTCTGGCCTCTGCATTTGCAAGCATGGATGCATGCACCCACATATATAGACAAAGACTCTGTAGCTTTGCATATAAAGTACACATGTGCACACATACATACACCCACACAATGAGAGTCTACATAGTTTTCTCACACACACTGTACTATATGTCCTATCTACCTACACAGGCTATAAATAGACTACAGACTATAATAGGTTCAGATCACATAGGACAAATCTCATCTCACTCACTCACTGTCTCTCTCTCATCAAGGCTGGCCTTGATTTTCTTACTCACCTTCCAACTAACTGGGACTCCAAATGCATGCCACCATACCTGGCAACTATAAAGACTCTTTCTCCCAATGTTATTTTAATTTTTTTACTTTCTACTCTTTTAAATTTTAATAACCCTGTAATGAAGTTATGATTATTGTGAATCACTGTCTCAACCTTCTGTGGAAATGGATAGAATAGAACTAATTTTTAATTAAAAATGAATATTTACATCTAATTAGCTTGCAAGCTTCTGATATTTATCATTGCCTAAATTCGTCTGCTTTTACTCAACTTAAACCAGGAACTGGGTAAGGCATTATGAAAACCAAACAAGAATTCTTCCAGCATTCAAAGAGGAACTGGGTTTCTTTTACACAACAAAACTTTTGTGCCATGTGCCTGGGACACTTTAGAAATCAGATTTTTTTTTTCAATTAAGATCTAGCGGAGAAGACAAGTTCATCTTTACAGTGATTACATGCTAAAATAAAACTGCTAGCTATACTGGGTTAACAAATCATTAAAACGAATTTCACCTGTTTCCTGTAACCTTTACAGACGTGTCTGTTGGCACACTTAAAACTGCTAACTGTGTGGTTCACCTTCCTCTTTCAACCGCACAATGCTACTCCGATTTTCAGATACTTCTACAATACCAGGCCTTTCATTCCAAGTCGCTGACAAAGCTTTCCCGAACCTCAAGCCTCCCTGCCTTCTGTGACACTGCACTATTGTGGCTCTACACTCATCCTCAGCTGTCTCCTAACCCTCCTTCCACCTGGCTCTCGAGTTCCTGTCACCCAGTTAGCTGCTCAAACAACAAGCAGCAAATCTACTTAAGTGACCCATGCCTACAGTGCTAACCTCAGGCCATCTTCACCCACTGACACTTCAAAAGTGGTATTTTCAAACCACTTCCTAACTTCCTCATTTCTCTCTCATTCTTGAACTCAATCTCACACTTTAGCTGAACCGATAGCTTGTCCTGCTCACGCTTCTCCTGTATACATTCCCGTTACTGTAACTCTCATCTCTCCTAATTACATAAAAGTCACCTAAATTCTCTTATGCACTTCAGCCTCACTACCAGACGGATGTGCCTGTAGCAACCTCTGTCCACCGCAGTGTCACATCTGAAAACGTGAAAAAGAAGAAAAGGCAAGCGCTAAAGATGCCTACAAGCGTCGGGCGTGCACATGCATCTTAACAGTTCTGATGAAGGAACAAGCGACGGCGATACGACTCTTTGCCTGGCAATGGAGACACTGAGAAGTTAGCCCTGAGTGCCACTCACTCCTGGACTAGGACACACTGGAGACACGAGACGCAGCGTCTCACCAGTTGCTCAAGCCGACCCAGCCTAGGGCGCTTCCTCTATCTCCTGCTCCACTCCCGTACAGCCGGCCACCCCCGACAGCAGCCACCTGCTCCGGGCCGTCCGGGAAAGCCAGCACTTCCGGACCAAAGCTCGGAGGGGGTCACTCTTAGCCTGGACGGCCCTGACAAACCGGCCGACCTCGTTTCCCATGCGGGGTTCCTCGGTCTCCGCCCGGCCGGACCCCGCCCCTCATCCTCGAGGACGCCCGCTGCGCGGCCCGCAGAGGCTCAGGCTCCGGCCCTAGGCAAGAACGAGCGACCACAGCTGGCAGAGACACCGTTCGCCCCGCAAAACCCGGAAACTCACCTTCTCTCTCCGCGCCCTGACGGCCGGCTCGCACCGGAGGTTTCGGTCTAGGCTGCCGCTGTTTTGTTTCCGACGAGAACTCGCGGCCCGCAGAGCAGGTCGTCCTAGGCCCCGCCCTAAAGGCCTCGTCGGTGTCGTCATTTCCGGCCCCACGACGTTGGCTACGAGATCGAACAGTGAACGGGACTTCCGGTGGCGCGCGCAGACTGTGAGGGTTGGAGCTACACTGCTGTGGGTCGAAGTAAGATGCTGGGCGATCTGAAGCAGTTGTAGGGCTTCAGACTGATCTAGTGTTCTCCCATGCTAAAACCGAAGACATTTTCCCCTTGTGTTTTGGCTGAGACTGAGATTCGTATGTTCCCTGCAGGTCTCAAACACACCCCATACGGCCTTGAAAACTTATCCTGGGCCGGGCGGTGGTGGCCCGTGCCTTGAATCTCAGCGTTCGGGAGGCAGAAGCAGGCGGATCTCCGGGAGTTCGAGGTCAACCTGGTCTACAAGAGCTAGTTCCAGGACAGGCAAAAAAAAAAAAAAAAAAACCTACAGAGAGCCCCTGGCTCAAAAATCCCCCCCCCCCCCGCCAAAAAAGAGAAAAAGAAAACCTATTCTGTATACACCGTACGCGTTTGGACATCATCCTTCGTTTTGTGGTAACATTTAAAACCGGACACTTCCCTTTTCTTCACATTTGTACAGTTGCTCAAAATGGATATAATTTATTGTTCGTGCCCTCAATAAATTAAAGCGATTGGTGGGTAAACGGAATCTGAGAAACTACCCTAATATTCTAGGCTCCAACTCTGAAAAGGTCTTCCAAGATGCAAGCGTCTGGAGAGCAGAAAATGTTTCCTACTTTGAGTTTGCATCCGTAAGATTTTATGTAATTGTAAAGACGATTGTTAACAGTTATGTCTGTCATCCAACTCAGTAGATGAGGGCAGGTCAGTGAGCTGAGGTCAAACTGGCTTAACAAATCACAGGGTAAACTGGGCTACACAGGGTCTAATTATTTTATTTCCCAGGACGCCTCATTCTAATCCAGAGCAACCATCTCCATTTTCTCCCAACACTCTCAACCCTGCTTCAACACAGATTTCATGCAATATTTTCATACGTAAAATTTTCATATTTGTCTTTCACAACAGCAGAATGGCAGCTGGGAGGAGACACACCATACATACTTCAAACCATAAATTTCTTACCCTTAGTTTTTCCCCCAATAAAATTCATTTATATGGGGAAGAATACAGAAAATAGTGGAGAGCACATAGAGCGAGCACAATACAAGCGCTAAACAAAGACAGGCTAAAAGGCATTTGTAAAATTGTTCATTATCCTAACTGCAATCTTTGGTAGAACCAACCTCAACATAACATTTTGTTCATGGAGTATTGGTATATAAAAATAAAGAAAAAAAATCACAGTTCACCCATGTTATAAAATTCACATGAGGGGGCTGGAGAGATGAGCTCAGCGATTAAAAGCACTGGCTGCTCTTCCAAAGGTCCTGAGTTTAATTCCCAGCAACCACATGGTGGCTCACAACCATCTGTAATGAGGCCTGGTACCCTCTTCAGGCATGCACATAGACAGAATATTGTATACATAATAAATAAAAAAAAAGCCTCGCATGAGTTATGTGCAAAGCCCAGTGTGGTGGTACACACTGTCAATCCCAGAAAGACAAAAGCAGGTGAGTTTGAGAGACCAGGTCAATAGAGAAAAGAGAAACTTTGTCTAGGGGTTGGTGGAAAGGTGTCAGCAGCAGGTGGAAAAGACACACAAACTGGACTACAGATCCTTTTCCTGTTTTCTATATTCCTCTTTCTAGGGATATGAACACCCAAGAGACGGTGTGAAGACAGACATTAGAGGAGCACAAAGGTGATTAAACATTGACACCTGTGAATCCCAAGTAGACAGCAAATGCTTAGAGTCAAGCTATTGTGTGTCCCAATAGTGCTGCCACAAGGAATCAGTGGAAACACTGAGAATTACACACATTTCCAAGAGGATGAATGAGACATTTGGAAGGTACATATTAATTTCTTGGAATCACTAATAAAAAGGAGATGGAAGCCAAGTTAATTCTTTTGTGTTTTGTTCTTGAAACTAAGAAGAAAGCTGGTTTGTGGTGGGATATACCTTGGGAACTGATGCAGTATTGAAGACTTCAAGGTGAGCCTGTTTTAACAAAATTATTTCAAAGAAAGAAAATTACTTGAACAAGGATCAAGAAACTGTAGGGATGGCCAGAAAAGAGGTCTTCTAGATAACTCAAATGGAGTTATTACACCAGGCAGGACTTAAGTTTGCTACACTCGTGAACTAGAGAACTAGAAATTCGCCCAATACTTTTTCTAACAAGTCCTTGATAGGGTTGAGGGCTATTTGCTGCATGTGGTGGACTTGTGGGTATGTAGGCAAGAAGTCATCCAATATTTTTCAGTGAACTGTAACACTGAGTCTAGAAACACTGAAAGCTAACCTAAGAATTATCAACACCAAGAGTACTCAAGAGTCTCTGCAATAGGGCATTTCTTTTCCCCAATATTCAGAACATGGAAACAGAACAGTGGTATGAACAACAAAATGCAGCAAGAAGATCCAATAGTGACTAACTAGTGATGAATGAAGCCTGAACCTGAAAGTGCTACATAAGAGGGAGCCTGAAAGACTAGAGTATAAATGATGTCATCGCTAAAGCCAAGGTCTCGTCAATGAGAACGCCACGTGTATTACCAAGGAGTCCTAGATACACAATTAACAGTTGCATATGATCATTATTTGCTTTTACTCACATTAACACTACAATTCCTATAGAAACATTGAATTGTCTTTCAATTAAAAGTATGCCCAAACTTTAGATTCTTGCCTAGAAATAAACTAATCCAAAAGAAAGTTGAGTCTGTTTTCTCACTAATTACTTCAATCTCTGTAACTGAATACATCTATCAACACTAAACACTAAAGGCAGAAACGGAACCCTTAGCTGTTGGACTCGTTTTCCTTTTGTTATCAAAACAGGAATGGAATATTGTTTGACTTGGTTTCTTGGTAAATTGAGGACAACATGGATTACACAAATGGGCCTAGGCCAAATCTAGACAATGATGGGGAGAGACAGAGGGGAAAAGGGGATGTGTAAGAAGAAAGGACTTCAATAAAATCAATCCCAATTAAAAAACACACACATAAAGTCAGGCAGTGGTGGGACATGTTTAATCCCAGCACTCAGGAAGCAGAGGAGTTCAAGGTCAGCCTGGTCTACAGAGTTCAAAGACAGCTGTTACAGAGAAATCCTGTCTTGAAAAACAAAGAGTACACACTCAAAATGAGGGGTTTGTGTGTGTGGTGATGCAGGCCTTTAATCTCAGCAGAGGCAAGAGGATCTGTGAGTTTAAGGTCACCATGTTCAACATAAACTCTCCTTTACAAAAAAAGTTTGGCTACTACACAATATAACTCCCATTCTGTATGAGAATATAAAGGTCGTCGATTCAACTAATAAGTATGTAGTATTTTTTCACTCATTTTTATAATTATTTTTTTCTATGGATATTTACAACTATGCCTAATTTGGTTGCTTCAAGACACACTTAGGTAGTGGTGAGTGACTAATCCCAGCATTTGGGAGGCAGAAGCAGAGGCAAGCAGATGGCTAGGGCAAGCCGTATCAGTCAGGATATATAGAGAAACCATCTCGAAAACTAAAACTAAGATCAAAAACCAACCAACCAACCAACCAACCAACCAACCAACCAACCAACCAAACAGACTCAAAGAGAGAGCTAGGCAGTGGTGCGTGCCTTCAATCCCAGCACCAGGGTTCAAGGCCAGTCTGGTCTACAGAGGGAGTGTATTCGGAGCAACCCAGAGAAACACTGTCTCAAAAGTCAAACAAACAAACACAACAACAACAAAAACAACTTAAGCAGGGCCAGATATCTACATAGTGAGTGCCAGGCTAGCCAAGGTGAGGGAGATCTGTCTCAAAAAATAAAAAAAATTAACAAAAATGACAAAAAAATGAAAAAAAAATAAAAGGCACATTCTGAAATAAAGATATTAAAATTGTATGTAGTAAATAAACAGTTGAACTATAACCAGAAAAATCCACAGCCATTCTGAAATCACAGATCTTGATACCAAAAGTTTGACGAAAACAAGCCTCACAAACATTAGAAATCTATTTATATGAATTTGCTAATTTATTTTCTTCGTGGTAGAGATACACACAGACACGTAATACTTGTTTTGGCTCAAGACTTATTTTTCTTTATTTTATTTATTTATTTTGGTTTTTCAAGACAGGGTTTCACTGTAGCTATGGAACTAGCTGTTGTTTGTAGACAAGGCTGACCTTGAACTGACTGCCTACCTCTGCTTCCCAAGTGCTAGGATTAAAGGCATGCGCCACCAACGCCAGGCAAAACTGATTTTTCTGTATCTTATAGGTATTCCTGTTAGATTATCTGAAACTTTACTGTGAAGAAAACATCAACATTTGCTATTACACAGTTTACAGGGAAGCACTATCATAAAGCTCAAATATCAAACTTTTAAAAGAACATCCTCAGAGTCTGGTGGGGACAACTGACCTAGGGCACTATTTTGGAGGGTTATTTTGATGTTCACAAATAGAACATATTGTACATAGCTAACTACTGTTCTCAAGCATCACCATATTTGAGCACTTGTAACCTAGTCTTTTGGATTGCAATGGAAGCCTGGGAAATTCAAGGACAGCCTGAATTTGATTAGAAAATTGTCCAATCTCAGTAAAATAAAATAGCTATTTTCTTTAAAATCTACTTTGAGCAACAAATGTTGCCACTATATAGTCTGCCAAGATAAAATAATGTGCAGGTATCTGAAAAATCTTATTCGACTTAATGTAACTCATGGATCAGTTGGTACTAGTATGACTTGGTAATTATAAAATTTTAGGCATTGCCCATAGTGGTGACACGCACCTTTAATCCCAGCACTCAGGAAGAAGAGAGAGGCAGATCTCTGTATTTTGCTACCAGCTTGAACTACAGAGACAGTTCCAGAACAGCAAGGGCTGTTACGCAGAGAAACCCGGGGGGGGGGGGGGGGAGGGTGTCTTTTTAAGGTATTATCCACCCTACTAAACCACATAGGCATTTTAACAAGACAAGTAACAAAAGGGCCCAATCAAATGTGAGAAAAACTAGTGTCAAACATTTTAACTACTCTTTCTCAAAATATACTTAAATTTTATTCTGTGGTCAAACGAGGGAAAAGCATTTTAGTTTTAAGACTTCATGTGTTTTATTACTTAAATGAGTGATACCAACCAATATAAAACCTAAAATGAATGTACAGATCTATCATAAAAACTAAGAAGCTTTAATGGCAAAACTTGGTTTAAAATATAAGCTTAATTTAACCACTTTTTCTGCCACCCACATGAACATCCCAGCTCTCCTGAAAGGTTCTATGACTTTACGGGGAGGTGCTACGCAGTATAAGGTATATACTCCTA